TATCAGATATAATCCTCTCCTACTCCTTTTGGTTCAGATCTGGTTCAGTTTATGGTTCAAGAATGATCATTGAAAATATGATTTTCTAAATAGGGAATGCGATTCCCAATTGAAGGTAGTGAAATTTTTTTGAAATTCGCCCACCTCATTCTACAAGATTTGGGCGTCCATACAATGGATCTCTCATCCCTTCATGGCCCCTATTTATAACCAGTATATCCGGGAATCAACAATCAAGATCAACACGATCAAATGGCTTCTAGGAAAACCGATTGCACGCCTCCCGAGGTTGAAATCAATTTAGCGCGTGTTATGACATCCGCGGAGTCTATAATCGGCTTGATGTCCACGCGTACCGGGTATGTGATTTGGGTCACTTTCTGGTTGAGTCGAACGGGCGAACAGGTCCGACCAACGACTCCCCCTCCACATCACCTAAACTTCATGCCAAATCTACCTAAGCTCGTCAGGAACTCCCTGCGCCGGTTCAGGACCCCTACCACGAGGAGTGGGGGGCAAATGATGAGGGGTAATTTGGCACGGCCAAGTAAATAAAGGTCACGTGGATGCATTCTGCCTATAGGATGGCAACTCAGCAAGGGGAGCCTAGTCAGTAGTATGTGGAGTTCAGACGTTTGGCCACCTCGGCACCTAATCGAGTTCGGGGACCAGGAACCGAAGTGACGCGTAATCAATTCCAGTAGCTTTCTAGCAGACTCCAAATATTACGGGATCACACCGCATAACGGCAAGCCTTATCTTCTCCCTGCCCAGATCAGGCGGCGACAATAAGGTTCATTGACGGATACGTTACTCCCCGATTAAAGTGAAAACGGATCTCATCCATTCAGGTCGCAGATCTCAGAACTGTTTTGGGAAACCCGCGATAATTCAACTATATAAAGGCACCAATCCCTCCATGATCTAGGTACGCACGATTACTTGCATCCAAGCTCTCTAATACTCAAATTCTAGCTCGCAGCCATAACAGAATACTGACTTAGGCATTGGAGCGACCTCCCTAGGTCATCCACCCCAGTCACTCTGATCTTTGTTTTACAGTTTATTCAAATTCATCACTCGAGTACGTTCAAACAACCTTCCAGCTAGGAGGTTCCAGATCGCACATCATCAAAAACCAATTTGTTCGGATATGTCTGATCCATCTATAATGAATTTATATTAAACTGAATCGGGTTGAATCAATATCAAATCCATTGAATGAAGAGTAGGGATGTCAATGGACCAGGCTTAGGTTGGACACTATCTGACTTAAAACTAATTTAAACAGATTTGACTATCAATAAGTTATTGAATTGACCAATCCAAGCCAGGTCAAAATATATTAATCGGATTGTAGTGTACCTGGTCCATATGCAATAGACTCATATCGAATAAGATCGGGTTTCACCAATGTCCGGTCCATTTACAGCCCTACGTGGACCGTAGCATTCTTTTTTTGCTCCAAAGAAAAAATCATGCGTAGTCTTTTCCTCGACATGAAGGAAGAAGTGTTGATTTTTTTTTTTTTTTCTTTTTTGTATTTAAAGTGTAGAGTCGGACAATGTTTGGTTTATATATTTGTTTTAGTTTTTTTATAGAATATATTTGTTTTAGTTGGTACGTTCGCTTGTTTGTTTCATGAAAAGGATATATAAAGTTGGGTTGGGTGCGCGGACTCCTTCCCAAACTATCAAGAAATATTAATTTAATAATAATACTATCGTCTTTATGTACATAGGCACCCACTAGAATAGATCGCATAATGTAACAAATATGCCAGTAAATTTACTAAAGGGAGAGAGCGACCTACGGTGAATTAATTTAAAACAAGATTGCTTTTTGTTTTAATGTGTTTTACTTTACCTAGTGAGTGAGTTGCCACCCAAATATTCTCTCTCTCTCACACAGCACTATAAGCCTAAAATCGGTTCTCTAAACCAATTTTGAAGAAACAAAAAATTGAAGAACACCCAATATGCTTTTCATGCATATCCAGTGCATCAATACTTTGAACCTTTTATAGCATGATCAAAACTGGAAATAGAGGCTCAAGTTTATAATGGTTTCCACTTGCAAATAGAAACTGATAGGGGTAGAAGTGACCTCTAGTAAAATCCAGACATGTGACAGCTCTAGAGGCACTCATGCCTTTGCCAACGAGCATCCACCCCCACCTTCATGCCTTTGCCAACGAGCATCCACCCCCACCTTGGGCAGCCGCTCACCTCGGGCAATTAGGGCTCGGCTCAAGCGACGAGTTAAAATCAGCCCCCCACAATGTCCCACAGCACTTTCCTGCCATTTATTAAGATCATCGTGGGAAGATGCTTTCAATTCATGACGGGAATATGTTGGGGGACATTGTAGGGGGTTGATTCGATCTCAAGTGACCAAGGCTCACCTTGGACAATCAGGCCTTTACTATGGTTGAGCTGCCATGCCGCTAATGGTAAAGGGCAGCTCGGTTTATGAGCTGAGCCATATGCATAAGATAACACACTTCATTGAGATAAATTGCACTAGAAGATACACTCTTGTAGTGGAAAAAACCATACAGCCTTTAGGCCTATGCGGTTAGGATAAGCATTTTGTGTGCAAGTGTCGTGTATTGATTCGTTGAATGGCTCCATCAAGGTTAATGGCATTGAATCATGATCTCATGTGTGCATGGTTAGGACTTGTGTGGCTCTTTTCGATCAATGGGGAGGCACCATTAATGGGTCAAAGGGCGATTGTGCCGATGATGTGTGTAAGGCAACCACAACCTTATGAACAAACCCACATATTAGGACGATGGGATAGTTCAATTCAATCAACTTAATCACAAGGCAGGTAAAGTGTAGGGGCATGCTGAGGCCAAGCTCATGTGGAAAGCCTCCATGTGCATTGTGCAATTCCTGTCCATGCATGCATTGTCCCTTTGAACAATTGTGTGCTTCACGAAAAACCCTAGTAGCCATTAATCAGGACTATCCTATAAGGAAAGTTGGTCTTCGAGAGTGACAATGGTAGGCACCCAAAAAGACTTACCACCCTTCTTCCTCACAAGGATGTTAAGATTTTAGAGGTTTGTGATTGTGAGGAGGTAACGTAATTGTTTTCGAAAAATCATAATAATAGAATTTACAATAATATCACTGGATACAGGCAACCAAGCATGTTAAACTAAGCATGTATAAGAAGTGTGAGTGTGTGACAATGTGATGTCTTCCCATTGGTACAGGCTTGTACAATCTATTCAAGGATTTCAACCTCAAGTCTTCCTATGATGCTTATACCGAAAAGGCAAAAGAAAGCTTAAAATCAAAATGCCTGAGTAAGAACATCCACTGTGTATTAGAAATGGGCGGCGGGAGCTGCTCCTCACAAATGGGCGCCTCATATACACATCCACTGTGTATTAGAAACATTTTTCATGAATATTTATTAATAAGTTGGGGAAATGTTATGTGCATGTGAAGCGTCAGTTGTGAGAAACACACGTCACATCTCATAGATCCTGGATCGGATGCAACCAAAAAGCATTTTGAACACCCTGACTAGCGCATATTCGAAATATCTCCCGTATTTATGTTTTACATTTACGGAAAGATGTTCGAGATGTGTGGCTTGGATGCGTATTAGCACGCTTTTTTTTTTTTGGAACATGCAAGATCCCTGTCTCCGCCCTATTTCTTGTGTGAACAGTATAGAGCTAAATCAGCATAATAGCAGGCGAATACAAATCAAACAACTTCAGTTAGACTATTTTAATAATTTACTTAAGTTTTGCATCAAATAATTCTATAAAATTAGGAATTAAAAAGAGAAAGGGCACAAATTCAAAGAGGAGTGGAGGACCCCTAAACAGGATGGCACAATTTTGACCTTAGTATTGCTGTCAAATTGCAGTACTTCTGACAGTACAGTACAGAGTCAGATAAGGGGCAAGAAGAATCCAAAATGGCGACAGCAAAGCCCACCCTCTTCTCAAGTAATTGAGCTGAACATTTAGATTTAGGCACCTACAAATTCAAATTTGTTTATGTGGCGTGCAGGTGGGAGTTTTGTATGATTGTATGTGTAGAGGGACTGAGGGGATGAACCAATTTATTTATTTTTTTTTTTTAAGAATCTTTGTATTTGTATTTGCAGCACCACTTGCAAGCCTTAGCACATGGCCACTACATCTTTGTTGACTACTACTACCGGCTAGAGAACCACAACGACTCTCACAGTCTCACTCACGACTGTGACTATATAACTATTTGTGGTAAATTGGTAATTAGCATCAATATTCTTTCTTTGGTTTCGACAATGGTGAATGTACGGCGCTACAGGGCGATTCGTTGGTACTTGGTGGAAATGTTTAGTTACACGTCGCCTCTTTATTTTTTTTTGTTAAGACGGAAAATAACCAATCAACTCAGATCAGAATTTTATAATCCAAAGTATAAGTATAGGATGAATGCATCCTGACCGTGAATTAATATTAAATTCAGAATTTTGCATCTGTGTATTCGTACTTGTCTGTAAGACTTAAGACTTTAACAGAGGCAACACCCTCTCTCTCTCTCAAGTCTCAACTTTCACCACGTCGTCGGTCATCGTAACTCTCGTAATTCGTAATAAGGATACAAGCCTCCACGAATCTGCCTCCCAAACTCATGATAAAAGAAGTGCCTCCACGAATCTGCCTCCCAAACTTATGATAAAACGCCAATGACACCAATATATTGCCATTTGTTTGGTGCTCCTACCTTCAAAGGTCAAACCACATGTGAATCCGTCGGCCTTATATCTCTTCTCTCTGGACTTGCCACCACCCTCGCTTGTTGCACTTCTCCCAACAGCAACAACCCAATAAATTAAAGAAAAGAGGGGGCGCCAACGTCACACAGTATATATATCCCCCGCTATATATTGCGAACATCTCCCCACCCCACACCGTTAGACGTTGTGGGGCTCAGATCTGAACTCAAAAGGAAAAGTAATTATATATATTCATGAAGGAATCATAAGAAAACAAAAATATCAACAACATTTCTCATTGCTACTAATGTGATCTATTCTTTTCTCCTGTTTTCCATTTATTCTCGTTAATATTAACAAAGAAATAAAGAACAGAGAGAGATGGCGGCCTCAGCGTGTTACATCAACATGGGTGTATACTGTATAGGAATATCAGGCATCAGCCAGACTTCTGTCTATTTCTAGTCTTCGTAGTGGTCGTTGCTGTCGATGCCGTCGGGGCCGTCGAGAGGAAAACATGTGTCCTCGCCACCAGTGTTCCACAGGAAATGAGCGTAACTGGCCGCGTAAGAACTGTTGCCTGGTTCGGCCGCTATGGCCTCCAAGTACGTCTCCTCCGCTGCGCATAGATCCTTCCGCACCAGCCACAAGAAGCTCGCGTACCGGCTCAACGACTCCGCGTCCCCTGGTTCTACCCGGACTGCTCGCTTGAAGTATTCCTCCGCTCTGTTTAACATCAATACAATTCATACAACAAATTAGTGGAGTGAATTACACACAAATGCCACCAAATACCCTTCATAATTAAATCTCTAAAAACTCCACCAAATATTACTACTATTTCTTCTTTCTTTTCCCAACATTTTCGATTCCCTTTCCATTTTAATCAACAATACAAAATAACCTGACGTGTTTACTTCTGATTTGGTGTTTCTAGCGGATCCGGACTCTTGACAAAATAACCCACACTCACTAAACAAGATTTTCATTTAATTTAAATTCAACCGAATTTGGTAGTTTGAAATTTACCTGTCGTACTCGTGCATGACAAGGTAGAGGAATTGAGCGTAATTGGCGAGGAGGAGAGGATTATTAGGCTCTTGAGACAATGCTTGCTGATACAGAAGCTCTGTCCTAAAGTAGTCCGTGTAGTCTTCCGGCTCAACCCCCACCGTAATCGGTGAAACCAATCGTCGCATCGTCTCCTTGTCCAGAGTCTCGTCCCCCATCACCGTTGGCATTCTCTCTGCCTCCTCCACGATCGCATTCCATAACTTTTTCTCTTCCTCCCCTCGTACTCCCCAGCTCTCCGATTCCAACACCGTTCCCGACTCGCTACCATCCTTCGACGCTGTCGGGTTCCCAAATGATGACACCTGAGATATCTCATCTGGCAGAATGGTCTGATGCTGGTTCGACGACGATGAACCATCAAATCGTCCATCACCGTCGGTTCCACTGGCCACCGGCCGCACCTTATCACCACCACCACCACCATTGTTCCCCCCAACGAAGGCGGTTTTCCCGACCGAGGATGAAACAGAAAATGTCTTCATCGTCGAAGAATCGAACCTGGGCTGCTTTTGACTCCGCACGTCATCAGTCAACGATACGGTCTCAATGGTAGCAATTGAAGATTCCACAGCCGGAGATGCTGCTGCCATGGCAGTATTATGGCCCATAGAGTACACAGTGAAGTTCGCAAGCAGTATCATAACGTAAACCATAAGAGTCGGTGTGTGCGAAAACACCTGCTGAAAGAGCCAAACAAACGAGGCATGCATCTCTTTCTGCACTCGGGCCACAATCCCTTGCACATCTTCATAGAAAAGAATCTCCCGCATCTGCAAGGTATAATTGTGAAGCTCCCGGATGATGAACACCATCGAAGAGAAGGCTTTCTTCACGGAGCAGTATGCTGACTCCCCTGCTTCTCTGAATCCTTCTTGCCATTGCCTTTTCTTCTTTATCATACGAAGAGACAGAGGGATGTCGACGCTGTTCGCCTTCCGCTCTATGTTGGCCGGGATAATTTCGTCTCTTTCCAGCCATCCTGGCGGTTCCGAACTGATTACCAGCCAAGGAGGCTCTACCGAATCAAGAAGCTCCAATGGGGGAAATATTCTGGGACTTTTTACAAGGTTTATGCTACTATGGATTCTGGAAAATTCCTCGTTTAATACACTATTACTACTGCTACTGGTGCTGCTTTCTCTTACTTTATCTCTGGAATTGGCTACTTCGTCTGATTCTGTTTTTGTAACGTTGCTAATTTCGCCGTCGCCATGTGCAAGGTGGAGCTTTAACGCTAATTCTTGAATCTGCTTGGCGAATTCTTCGTCAGAGAATGATCCATCTAAGCTAGCGCTGGAAGCTCTCCTCAAGGTTTGGCCTCTGGATCTCTTATACTCGCAAGACCTAGACCTCAAGAGCTTGGCCGATGACCCATCGAACAGAGACGAACGATCCTGTCGATGAACAAATCGGCAATGAATAGCCCTATCGTTTCCACTTTGTCTTTTAGAAGGGGATAAGATTGGAGAGGCGTAGGTCTGAGAAGAGGAAGGGGAGTTAGGAACAACAGACTGCGACCAATGCAAACAGGTAGCAGCAACCTTTACCCCCATTCTTCACCTAACGAACCCGAATTCGCAACGCAGAAGAAGAAACAAAGGAAATGGAGATAACAGGAGAAGTCTGAAGACTTGTAAAAGATGTGGAAGAAAAGGAGAAGCTTCACAAAACAGAGGCCAGCAGAAAAAGGAGTCAAGGTCCCGGAAAGCTTGGGTAAAAGGGATCTTTCTTTTATTGAAACGGACTTTCTCGCTCCTCTTTCCGGCTCTTTTTCGATCGGATCCGGAGAAAACCTCAAAATGACTTTCTTCCACGCACTTCAACCTGCAATGAAAATTGCAACCATCATCAGTCAAACTTCTACAAGCTCTACAGGTAGAAATGCTATCTTGTTCTTAGCACCTAATCCTTTCTAGGAATTCTCTGGCTCAACATAAAAAACCTTATAAATTTTCTAATTTTCTTTCAAAAAAAACGGAAGGTTCTAAAGACGAAGGCTTCAGATTTCAAATCCAGTCACAGATTTAAAATTACACACAGAGATGATAATAGGAGGATTGGAGGATGAAACTAGTGGCCATTATCCCCCCAAACGGCCAAAAGAGAAGCTTGGATCGATATAGCGCAAACAGAGAACACCATGTAGACAGAGAAATTTATGAAGCGGGTAATTTGGAAGAAGCTAGTGACACAAACAAAAGTCAAGAAGGATTCAATATAGAAAGAGAAAGAGAAAGTTTTGAGGAACAGGAGCTCAGTAGCTTACTCGAACTTTCTACCGGGATCAAATGATTCTTACGATAAGTTCCGGTGAAGGTTTGAGGCGGCGATCGAGTAAGCGGACTACGACCGTAGCTTCACTTATCTGATGTCTCCTGAAGGGAACTTCGCTCTCTTATATACATGTGAGCACGCTCGCTCTCTTTCTCCCTCTATCCCTCCTGCAGGAAAAATCTCCAAATAAGCGTATAACAAAACCTACTGTGTATTTGCTGCATGCCGTAAAAGAGGAAACTACGCTATCGCCGTATCGGATACGGTTTTCATGGCTCCAAATCCAAAAGGGTTGATCTCATGACCATGGTAAATCGGTAATTTGCTCTTAGCAATCGCCAGGCATGAGCAGATATTTTTTTAGGCTGAGCCGCAGTGCCGCAGAGGGTTACACATTGAAGGTAGAGGCGGTTAGTCCAACCCCACGAGTCCACAACCTGATGAAAGAGGGATTGAATCAAGGACCACAACTACCGAGCTAACTGACATCTTCCTGTTTTACTTTTCTTTTGAATGTTCTATCAGCGATAACTACAAGAGATTTTTTTTTTTTTTCCAGCGAGGCAGCAAACTAACGCTCACCTTTCAGTTTTTCACCATGGGAACAGAGAAGCCTTTCAGCGATTTTTTTGTTGTTTGGTTGGCCGATTATATCGATTTTTAGGAAATTAGCAAAATTCGATCCCTAAAATCGGCTTGGCAAGGGATCACCACTTTTGGTGATTCCCCGATTTTTGTTGGGTGAGGTGGCATCCTGTGTGCTTCAATGAAAAATAATCGCTTTTTAGTAATCACCGATTTTTAAAAAGTTGGTTGACAACTTGACATGGAATAAATGATATCAAATAATAAAAAAAAAGAGTGATTTTTAAAAAATCATTGATTTTAGTAATCACCGATTTTCACAAAATCAGGTTTGAGGAATCTCATCGATGCCAAACATTACCTTGGTAGAGATGACAATTTTCCCCATTCATGATGGATACCCAATTTCCTAGACCCGATGGAATTAGGGATGGGGATTGCTTTGGCAGGGCAGGGATAACGATTAATAGAGATCCCTGACCAAGGTCAAGGTTTAGGATGGGTAATGAGGACCCTATCCTCGATGGGTACTTGACTTCCCTAACTCAATGGGGTCAGGAATGGAAATTGCTTTGGTAGGGCAGGGATAGGGATTAATAGGGATCCCTGATTGAGGTCAAGGTTTAGGATGGGGAATGAAGTCCCCACACTCCTGATGGGTACCTGACTTCCCCTACTCAATGGGGTGAGGGATGGGGATTGCTTTGGCAGGGTAGGATAGGGATTAATTGGAATCCCTGACTAGAGTGAGGGTTAGGGATGAGGAATGAGGTCTCTGCCCTCATTTTAGGGATTTGGGTCCCCAATGGGTTAGGATCAAGGTCAAGGATGGGGAATATAATCTCAGACTCAAACCCACCCTGTTGCCATTCCTAATCCTGCAACAATGGTAATATCAGCACGAATTGTAATCTTGACTTTATGGGTTCCACCCCCACATGACTGTCATTTTAAGTGCTACATGGAAACACAAACCACCATTAAATGGTAGAAAAAAATGTAAAATGAGCTAGCCAATAACTTGGTGGTATTGACACGTGTAAACTAATATTTAACTTGGGATGGTAATTTTCTCCCTAAAACTGGACTTGCCTTACCCCACTTAGAATGGGGCAGTTTTTTTTTTTTTTTTTCTATCTTAAACAGGGAAAGAGTAGGGATAGGGCAAATATTATTGCTCCAAAACTAAAACGAGACAAAGATGATTTTTACATATAATTCCCTCAACCTACCTTGAACTAATGGTAAAAGAATAAAATATTTTTAGATTTAATATTAATTTCTAAAATACCTCTAAATTCCCCTAAATTCTTAAAACCCTAAGATCCCATTACTCCATTTTTATAATAATTATAATAAATTATTATAATTTATTTTCTAAAGCGCTCTAAATTCTCATAATCTTATTTATAAAATACCTTGAAATTAAATGCATTTTAAATTTTAGATGATTGCTTTGGAATGTCTCTCTCCTCTGCCCATTCCCATTGTCATTCCTAATTTCCAATATATAACTCTTTTTTTGTGAATGTACGTCAACATTTAATTTAAAAACCCTCCTCACCGAGCCGGTGAATGAGAAGAGGTGACAGATTGATAAAAGACCCAGGAGAGAGGAAAGGTGGACTGATTTATAATTTTGTACGTACATTAGTACATGAAACATTACCGCCTATGAAAAATAAAAAATAATAATAAAGCTGTCAAGTCCTCAGAACCAAAATTGTAAGGTAGTGCCCCAAGAGTTAGGGGAGGGGTGGGGGTGTCACAGAAATAATGAAGGTACGAAGGCCAATTTTCATCAATCTGTGCACTAAGAATCGTTGAGATTCCTCCCGGCCCTCTACCCAGAATGGAAATTTGAAAAAAATTCTTTTGTTTGGCAAAGAGTTGGCATCACATTTAAGAGAATGGTTTACGCAGATTAAACATGTGACCCATTTTGGCTGCCACCCGCATATCAATTGCCATTATTAACGTAGATAATCTTCTTCTTTTTTTGTTTTTAATTTGGAAACACTGAAAGGTGAAAGTTAAAGCTTAAAATAAAAAAAAAAAGAAAGCTTATTTATTGTTTTTATTAATATTAACGAGAAAGAAGATTCAAGGAGGGGTCTTAACATACTTACATGTGCTTAAATTAAATCCAAGATGTGTTTTATTAATATATATAAATAATAAATTTCTACGGCGTTCAAAATATTCCATTTAATTAGGTGAGAGGAAATTGATAATGAAAAAAATATGTAGGTGGGTAGAGACTCAAGAGGCATGGACGGCCCAAATACAAAGCCACATAGTAAAGAGGAGTGCACCAGTGGTGGAGCCAGGGGGATCACCAACTTGGCAACGTCTGCATCGGAGGAGGCAAGAACTGACAAGAAAGTCAGTCAACTTGATACTACAGCGAAGGCGATGCCCTAGTAACGGTGGAGGTTGGGATTTTTTCTGTGTGGTGTGGCCCTTTTGCGCTCTACTCTCTAGCTAGTAAGAGCCGTGTCTGATTTCCTTCCATCCTCCTTGTCTTTCTCAGTTCTCCGGTCTCCCAACTGACCCGGAGGACAGGGGTCCCCTAAATTAAAGATTCTTAGATCCATCAGCTGCAGTTGCGTAAATGAAACAGAGACGACGTTCACGGTATGTCAGGGTACGGTCCGATTATAATAGCCGTCCACGGCGGTCATGTAGAGCAGACCTACTTTGCACGACAGCGCATTTTGCCTTTTTCCAAGTTAAAGGTACACATCGTCTCTTCTCTCCGCGCATCCCCCAACTTTTTGCCCAGTTTAGATCTACTCCCAATAAAACGCTCCCAACAGTCTCAACTGTCCACTGCAGTCGCATATTAGGAACATCTTCCCATTAGTCACAATCACAAAGGGAGAGATGTTCTCGGCATGCGGCCGCAGTAGTGTCACAAGTGACTCCTTCGCCGCGCCATCAAGCACCTACAGTGAGCCATCTGAGTGCCTTCATGGTGTCAACATGTGTGTCATGGGTGGGCTTTACTTGTATTTTGTAAGGGGGACCGCCAATGGCGTTATTGTAATTACTTAGTATGCTTTTCTATCATTTTGATGTTTCCTATTGTCACTCCCCCAAAAGCTTAATGTACTCTTTGAGGGGAGGTAGGTAGTCGAGTGAGCTCATAAGCGTGTAAAGGTTAAGCACGAGATCCCCTCGACACTGTACTGTGTGCTTGTGCTTACCACCGATTTATGCAATACAAGTAGCCTTTTGCTA